ACAACCACAAACACACACAACCGCAACCACAACCACAAACACAACACAACCGCAAACACACAACGACAAACACAACACAACCACAAACAACCACAACCACAAACACACAACCGCAAACCCATCCACAAGCACGCAATCACAACGACACAGCCACAACCACAACCACAACTACAAACACACAATCACAAAGACACAGCCACAACTACAAACACACAATCAAACACACAATCGCAAAGACACAACCGCAACTACAAACACACAACCACAACCACAACTACAAACACACAATCACAAACACAACCACAACACACAACCCGAGGACCCACAAGCAAAATCGAGAACTACAATACTCACGACCATGGCAACATGCTCTTCACTATGGCATCAAGACATGATTGAAATGTCATGGTGGGGATCACTCGAAGTAAAGTAATCTATTTTTTTAGATTTAGCTATTACTTTTACTTACGCAATATCTCAATATTTGATATATACATTTTTTAGGTCTTAATTGTTATTTTTCTTTAGTGTTAATTGAATTATTTTTTAGATGATCTAAAATAGTAGTTCCTTATTGGCGCCTACGTCAAAAACCTACTTCCTACCTACGTACAAACCGATATTAAGATAGGTTGCCTATACGACCTACGCACGTAAAGTTTTTGTTAATCACTACATAGTTTTGCCTATTAAGGGAAATGTTCATTGTTTTCGTCTATTGCATATAAATATGCATGTTCCTTTTTGAATTTTACATGAAATTTTTAATATCTAAAAACGAACAAATATTAAAACAAATCAAATTACTTAATTTCGACTAATCACCATCATATTGCAATATAACAAATATATTCACAAATATTTGATATATTTCTGTGTTTTTCCTAGCATATCTTCTGACATTCTGTCTGACATCTGGCCTGGCAATGTTTTCTGGCATATCTTCTGACATTCTATCTGGCATATCTTCTGACATTCTTTCTGGCATCTCTTCTGACATTCTATCTGGCATGTTTTCTGATATGTTTTGTTCTGACAATCTTTCTAGTATCTCTTCTGACGTTCTCTCTGCTTCTCTTCAAAGATTTTTCTGGCACATCTTTTGACATTCTTTCTGACATTCTAATCTGGCATATATTCAGCCGAAGCTCGCGGTTGAGGTCCGGCGAGGAATACTGCCTGCGGGAGCTGGCGGTTAAGGTCCGGCGGAGAACACTGCCGCCCAGAGCAGGCGGTTGAGGAGCTGGTAGTTGAGGTCTGACGTTCCGTCGTTCCTTCTTGATTTTGACACTATGTGTGACCTGCTGAGGACTGTGGACACGAATAAGTCTTCTGTTAGACTCCCACGGGCAGCAATCACCGCAGTCAATCTTGAAGGCCGTTCCTTGACGTGGGTTCTAATCCAAGCCATTTTCAATGTCGGCAGTCTTCCTAGTTCTTGGTTCCGAACAATTGCCCCACTCAGGAAGCCTGGTCCGGCAGTCATTTCAAATACTGCTAACCTCAAGCCATTTCATATGCCTCTGACCTTGAGGGTGTTTTTGACTTGTTTATGGCACTGGAGGTCTTCATTGCGCTCCAAGACAGGGTGCCAATAAACCTGCCAACCTTCTTGCTTAAGGGAGATCTGTTGCAAGGATATGACTTGGCTTGGCGTGATGCCATCAGAGTCAATGCCTGGGCTGCCGGGATCAAAGGTAAGAGCTGGCTGACTCTGGATCATGCACTCTCGCATGATCGGGCCAGAGTCCGGTTGGGGCCCCTTCTTGGACCGTTTTTCGCAATTGAAGACCATGGCATTCGACAAGGAGGTCGAGCTGCAGTGCATTTACGTACTGCACTAATTAAAGGCCTAGCTTGTCAGGCTAAAGCTGTGGGGGTCGGGGTTGGGGTTGGGATCCCTCCAGTAGTTGGCGCCAATAGTAAGCCACCTATCCTGGCGGAACCTCGGTGGGAGCTGCTTTTTGCAGGGCGCAGAGTGGTTATGATCCGATGAGCCCTGCAGGAGCTTGAGAATTTGTGCTGTGGCCTCAGTAAGAGGAAGTGTTGTTACTTCTTGACCACATCGCACCAGGTCATTTTTTTCGCAATTCATCGACTGTTGTTTCTCCCTCCAGTCTACTAGGCAGGGGTTGGTCCAAGTCTGTGATGCCCTCAGCGCTTTTACAAAACAGTGGAAACGCAAATTTGCTGGAGGCAGTAAAGCTGCCACGGTAGTGTGTGTTGGGGACCTTGGCCAAGACTCGCTTGAGGGAGCCCAAGTTGAGCGAGAAGCCCTCAAGCCAGTGGAAATCATGGATGTGCTAGGTGTTCGGCTTGAGCGCCTTCTCACTCTGAAGCCCCTTTGGCGACATGCTTCTTGCCAGACTTACTGATGCTGCAAACAACTTAGGGGCGGCGCTTGATGACCAGGGTTTGGTTGGGCGTGGCACTTAGATCAAATCCTCTGTAGGGTTGAGAACGCTGTGAGTTTTGGGGCTGAATTGCTCGTATGCCACGAAAGTGGCTGGCCTGAGATGACGCGTCGTCTCAACTTAGGTCACTATAGTGCAATAAAAACCTTGCTCGGACTGGACCATGCCTGATTGACCAGGGGGTTATCGGAAGCCCTGTCACAGGGTTGGGGGCTCAGCTCCAAGCTTGGAATGCCCATCACTTGCGCGCTTGCCCGATTGCTTACTTTACCACCTGACTCGCCGATTGCCGGCGTGGTAAAGGCAGTAACAGGCTCAACCAAACAGACTTGGATATCAGCTGCGCGAGAGTTAGCTTTCTCTGCCCACATAGTTGACATCCCATGCTATTCTTCCCTTCCAGAGGCGTGCCGGACCCCGGAAGCCCGGAAGGACTATCTATCTCCTAAGTTGGAAGGGTCGCGTGGTTGTGCCAGCTTGGCAGGAAGTTGAATCAAACTGGAGGGAGCTTGTCCAACAAGACTGCAGCTTCAGCGCCGATGAGTTTCGGCAGCTGATTCGGTGGAAAAGGACTATATTTTTCTCTTCGCCGCTCAAGCGCAAGTGCAGGGCCTGGTTTCTCCAAGCTCTCTCGGGAGAGTACCAACACGGTTTCCCACTCAGCCCGGCCGACTGGGTCCTCAAGCTCCAGGCAACCGTTTAAAAATACAGAGCGGCGTTGTGGGGAGGCCTTGGCCGATTCTTAGTAGGGACCCATGCTGGCCCTGAGACCCTGCGGGGTAGTGGTGCTCATGGGACCCTTCTGGTGGTCCCGCATTGCGGGCTGTGAGTGGAATGAATGAGGTCCAGCGGGGCACACTACCGTCCGGAGCTAGCGGTTGAGGTCCGGCGGGGAACACTGCCATTCGGAGATAGTGGTTAAGATCTGGCCACAAAAGAATCAGCTGCGCATGCTGATGCCTTGCACGACGAGCAAAGTGATGCAACGAGTCGCGCACGGGCCTTTTTTGCATCACTCCAGTTCGAAATGCACGAGTCGGCGCAGCGAGCAGTGACCACTCACATTGAATGCAAACAGCACTCGCCACTCATCCTTTGGTCTAAATTAATCGACTTGTCAGCCACTGCTGCTGTTGTCGGCCTGTGAAAGGCAAAGATGACAAAGTGTGAATTAAATCGTTGTTCTGGAAATGGCTTCTCTCAGAAAGCCATGCAGTTCCTTGCCCAAAGTGTTGTCAAAAAGCACTTCCTCATAACATCTAGTTAGTGCTGCTGCAAGTGCTACTGCCAGCGGGGCCAGTGGGGAATGAAAGATATTCCAACTGCACACTAAGCAGCTACTATGCTTGCCATTATTGACTTATTCACTTAACTGCCACTGCATGTAGCGGTAGTTTCTTTCGCTATTTCCACTCAGTGACACACGTTGGGCACTTGACAACTGTGCACAACTCGCTTAAATTGCTGCGAAACCAGCCGTATTCATGCGCATAGAAACCATTAACCTTAAAACACTTGGCACAAATCGCGAAACCAAAGGTTCGAATCAGTGCACGAGTTTGAGCTGCGCTGAATCACACATGACCGTGGCCCTTTTCTGTGGTGGATATTCTTTGGGTCTCTTTCGTTTCAAAGGCGAGGGCTTGTGTGATTGGCTCGCTTGGCTTCAGGCCTGCCCTTTGTGCCTCAAGTCTGCTTGCTACGACAAATATAACCTTTCCGCATTTAAGAAAGCCAATAGCAGCCACACAGCTGCGCAGCTCCAAGAGCGAGTCAAAAGTTTGCGCATACCCTCTTCTCGAGGGCACCTAGTTGCGTCAACCCCTGTCCATTGAGTCAGTGATGGGAGTTCAAGGGAGAGGTGCCAAAAACTGAAAAAACTAAACAGTACAGGCTTGCCTGGGGCTGACAATTTGTGGAGCTTGCGCCTTTCAGAGCTTTGGATTGAGCCATTTCATGCATTGCATGAGGGCCAAAAATGCGGCAAGTCTTGGATGAAGATGGTTTTCTTCTGAAAACAGCCGCTCACTTCATCCGCTGTTGCAGCTGAGAAGTCGCTGCAGCTTGCGCGTTGAGCCGCCTGGAAACTGTCAAGCTGGTTTCTCAACGGAAGCTAGGCCACTGGCGGCCAGAATTGATGGACATATTGGATGTCGATCACGAGCTAAACCCAAGGAAATCTTTCGGGTGAAACCACAACCTCTTTGCACAAGAGCCAAGCGCAGAAGTGCAGCAAAGCGCATTCAGCACGCTTTGCGCAGGCGCAAGGAGGTGTGATGCAATTGGCTTTGCCAATTGATTTTGACATTCACAGGTTTCGAAGTTGGAAGAGATATGAGAGATGATATGGTTCATCTATCGTTCTTTCTCTTTCGTAAATTCGAACCGGTGAAGTTCAATCTGACTCTAAGCACACTTGATGCAAAGGTCCAGGTTTCCATCATGATGCACCTCAGACCGAAGACATCTGCCCAAGATCGAGACAACGCCAAAAGCGCAAGAAATACTGTACTCAGGTCATTTGACTTTGGATCTCTCTTTAGACCTCTCTTTTCAACCTCCTTTAATTAGACTCGTCTGTCCTCTTCATTCTTTCGCCAAAAGCCAACGAGCCACGATTTTCTCAAAGCAATTGCACACCAAGGCGTGCTGCTTGCAAATCTGCGAGATGTCCTGCGAAACCCACCGGGCCGTCGAAAACCCCCAACCCGGGCTGCCGTTTCGTTTTCTCGAAAAAGGTCGACGCGACACGCGCAGTCCGGACGCTCCACGAACTTGAGAGATTTGGACCTGAACAACGCGCAGTCCGGCGAGACAATCACACAGAAGGCGACGGCACCAGGTCGGTCCGTTCGACACCCGCGCGTGCTTCGTTGGGACACGCCATAAAACACAAAGAAAAACGCATGCGGCATGCTGCTGCTAGGCAGTGTCTGCATGGGACGATGTCCCGTTCTGTTTTGTGCCCGTGTGTGTGTGTGTGTTTGCCTCATTTCTCTCTGTGGCATCTCTGACGACAGTCACAGTGTGTTTTGTCTGTCATCTCTCGAGACAGTGTCTTGGCAGTTCTACAACCAAAGACTCACTTCAAACAGCAAACTTGTGTTCCAAAAGCACGACAGTGATGACAAACGTGCACAAAAAGGATTCAGACTTGTGCAAGAACGCATAGAAAAGGTCTGGACAAACAAACCGTACTTTGAGAGAACTTGGTGTGCAAAGAAAACAGTGAGTGGAACAATGCTTGAGAGATGTGGAGTTCGGAGACATGCAAATCTGGAACAGAACTGTGTCTGCACTGTACGTCTTCACGGCCTTGCAAAGCACACTGCCTATAGGCCCTGCACATAGTATTCTTACAAGAAGAAAGGGTTACCAAATAGGAGCAAGGACGCTACTAGGGGCTCCTGGCCGTACTACTAGGAGCAAGGACGCTACTAAGTTTGCTCACTCGTAACTCTTGTATTCCTATCGTTTAAACAGCTTCCTCGCCGCATCTTGAGCTTCTACGGTGCACCTGCAGTTGGGCATCCTGGACGTTGACCTTAACAATGCCTCTCGCTCATGCACACCTCAGCGCCACTCATGTTCCCTCCGCGATTTGAAGCCTTCGATGGGCTTTCCTCCTTTTGGCCAAGCTTTTTGAAGCCTTGCTTTGGCCTTTCATTTCAATTGCAGCCTTGCAAAAAGAGAGCGTCATGAGGTTGGAACTGCAAACTTTGAAACCTTCTTGCAAGCAAAGGGTCTGTCTCCTAGTGAGAGGACGTTCTTGCGCCTCCCCAAGACTGACCAGTGAGTGCACCACACGTGGAAGACCCCAGGTTTGGACGTTCAGGCCTGTCTCCATTGCCATAAATCCGTGCAACCTCTGCTGCAAAAGCATTCACCTTCCAATCCAACGGAGACCTTGGTGAAATCAACATCACTCTCCACCACGAGTTTGTGCACCAAAAGGCATTGCCAAGCTGCGCAACGCAGGAGCTTTCATAGGTTGTGCGGGCAGACAGCACCTGTTTCTTCCGGCACTGTTTGGACGCACACGTTTTTTTCTTCGACGAAACAAAGACACACCGTCCTACGGCCGGTTTGGGCGTGCCTTGACACTCTCCAAAGCTGGGAAAAGGGTCGGCAAGAACTTCTGGCAGCTCAATTCAATCCAACCCCTCTCAGCGTTGGTGATCAGAACTACCTGCAAGCGAAGCGAAGCAAACGGTGTGACCGTGTCTAAGTGTCTGTCTGTGTCTTCTCAACGTGTGACAGAGATATGAACCATGTCTTGGCTTCAGGCCTCGCCGATTCACTGTAATATGTTGCAACATGTTTCAACTGTTTCTTTTCCTCTCTGGTGTTCGGAACCGGGGTGCAGTGCCCAATTGCTTTGCCAAGCGCAAGGTCTCTGCAGCGGCTGCGGCGACCTTGCTCAGCTGCTGTCGATGCCAGGGAAGGACTTCGGAGCCTCAACGAGAGCCGTTTGCGACAGAAAAAGCGCCCTTTCTTTGCGACCAACATCTGTCTTTGCTTTCTTTTCTTTGACCTTTCAATCGGGAATTCCCTTTTTTGTGATGTGTGCTTTTGTTGAGTTCTTCTTTCAATAGAAACTTGTTTGCGGTCCTACAGCCCATCTGACACTGCTTTGATAAGGAAATGTAATGTCTCTTTTGCAGGTAATGAAAAACACATGAAGCTCACTTTGGGTTCGGTGGTAGGAAGTAAGTCAAGACCCGAAAACTGAGCTGCAGGCTGTCGTCCAAGCGAAGTCCTTGACCCTGCACCTACAAGCTGCTTCAGCGGCTGCTTTAGCTGCTTCAGGTACACGCGAGTCCGCACAAAGAACACAAATAGCTGCTATTTTTCGTATTGACTCAGAAAGTGTTTGAGGCTTTGCAACTCTTTGTAGGAAAACAGAAATAGGATACATTGTCAAATCAAATGCAAACCTAGTCCAGCTCTACTCAAAGCAAAAGCCGCAATGACAGTGTCCATGTTCCGCAACATTTTGAGCATTTGGTGGCACCCAACTGGATGGCAATACGGTGTCGTCCCAGTCGAAGATGAACAGGGTCTCCTAGTGTTGAAGACGAGCTGACAAGCACACGGAACGCTTCACTAGCTCACGCTCTTCAAAGAACCTATAGAGAAAACCCTACACATATACTAATATAATATATTAGCAGCTTATCTATATTAATAGCTGCTCTTCTATCTTGTTCAAACTCCATGCTCGCCGCTAGGTTTTCTTTCAATTTTGGACACCGGACATCTGCTCGCTTGGGCGGTTCAGGTCTTGGCGCTACCGACGGAAGAATAAGAGATGAAGCCTAAGGGCCTAGGAGACCTGAGTGGCCCAGGACCGTCTTGGCCAGGAACTCCTTCTTTCAGTTCTTGCTTTTTGAATGATTCTTAGATCATTCTCTTTTCTGGCCACAGCCTTAGGTCTTGCCATGGAACTCTTCCAGTCTGGTCTTAGCTAGATTGGTCGCAGCGCTGCGCTCCTCTGCTGAGAACCAGGAGTCCAGTTGCTCAGGACCGTCACCTCAGCGACACCAACACATCGCGATCCCCATTCCCGCGGGCGTTGCAGAGCCACACTGAAACATCGCAAAGGAGAGACGGAGACAGCTGCGGTGCTTCCCATCTTCCCAAAGAAACGAAAAGAAAATGCATCCAGTTCTGGAACCTGAGACTTTGAAAGCTCATCCTGAGTCTGTAACAGCGCTCCGGCTCTGCAACCTCCTGCCAGAAGATGGAATTCAACATTAAGCTCTGGCATCTTTCAATTTTAAATACATCACAGACTGAGCGATGTCGCTGGCTGCGTCAACGTCTCAACCGTCCACCATCCGACCTGTGGCCGGGTTTCGACAGGTGCGAATCCAGGCCTTGGCCCAACGGGTCGAGCGAAGGGCACGGCGACGCGGCCGTTTTGGCCGGTGGTCGGTAGGTCGAGTGGGCGGGGGGTTCCCCTAAGGCACCGACACGCCGCTTTGCTCAGAAGGAACTTCGTCATCCTGGAGAAGAAGGTTCTGCACAGACCGGAGTCCAAGCCGCCGAGACTGATGATGGTTGGCAACGCGATTGTTCAAAGCGGGACACAATCCCAAAGCCATCTATTACCAACGAAGTAAAACAGGGCCTCATCGTAGTCAAATTCAGACCTTGCAAAAAGAAAAGAAGCATGTGAGCATCAATTAAAGCTAATCGTCAACAACATGTTGAACATCGGTGCAAATTTCTGAATACTCTGAGGGAGTGGCTCAATATAAGTTGCATCATCCTCACCAAATCAAACGCATGAGTACGTCGTCAAAAAGCCGGTCTTGGACTGCGTGACCCAAAAACTACAACAACCACTCTTTCTTTGGTCTTCCGTCGGAAAGGTCTAAGTGCGGCACAGAAAAAGGAAGGAAAAGGACTTGCAGTCTAAGTTTCTAGCATCATCTAGCATTTATAGGAACCAAATTAATCATATGCTGAGTTTTTATCTAAAAGCCGCGGTCTTGGACTGCTCGCTCTTCGAACCCAGAAAAAGATGTGAAGCGAAGCCACACAGCTCGACGTGTCTGCCTTGTGGGTCGGGAAAAGACCAGGACCGACCTGAAGTCCGATGAAAACCAGCAGGAACCTCTTTTCCTTCACAAAATCTTACATCAAGTTACGATCGTTTCCATGACTTCGCCACGAATTCCAGCTTCAAACATCACATGTTTGCTTCGCACACTCTTGCATCGCTTCTCGTTTTACTTCGATCCATCGAGCCTGCACTGGCACTCGGTTTTGACCTGACACACTCGCTTCGTGCCTCACCGGTCGACCTTGCTCTCGACCGGTGGACAAACCGGGCGCCTTCATCGGTCGAGCAGGAGTCCGTGCTCTCATCGTCATCATTTCGGGACTTCTTCAGGTCGGTGTTGTTGATGCCTCGAAAAGGAACTATGACCCTGCAGCCGTGTTTTTGGGCGGCACAAACGGATCTAAGGTCTCCACCGTCACACAACAAGGTCTTTGCAAGCTTGGTGGGCTCCTTAACCCACCTGGGTCAGTTAGCACAGCTAGGCTATGCATATCAAAGCAACTGAAGCAGCCAGCTAGGCCATGCTTGGCCTGTAATGCCTCTTGAAAATATCAGCACTGCTTTTCAAAACGAACCCCTCTGACCTGTTGTTGATGCCTCGCTCTTGGTAGGCCTCAGTCTGCACTACTTGGCATCAGTTGCAGTTCCAGACATTGATCCAAAGGCCATCTCAGCTTTAAGGGCCCTGGCCATGCTGATGCTGCGGCTGATGGTGTCTGACCCGCTTCCCCTCTTCAAACAGCTGCAGAATTACAAGGTCTCAGACGACGAACACCGACGAAACACAGTTGAGAACTTAAAAATAAGAGTAGCCTATATATATATATATAATATATTAGCAATCAAACACTTCTGACTCTATTGGGCAATGTGTTCTTTCGTTGTCGCAAAGGTTTTGGGCACGTAACATTGGTTTTCCGCACAGTCGGTCGGGGCTTCTCTCAACTACCTCCTCACTGCACCGACTCCAACCTGGGACGAGTTCCACCAACGAAGCAGTGGTGCCAAGCACGGTGCCAAGCAGTGTGCCGTCTTGGATCCGGACCCAACACCAAACTTGCTCTTGAGTTCAGCGTCAAGCGCCCTGTGAGCGTTCAGAAAACAAGCGAAATGAAAGGCGTGACCTAAGGGTCAAAGCCGCTGCAATTTGTGTGGGGCCAACAGTTACCTCTTTTGCTCTCCACGCACTACGAACGGAGCAAGGACGCTTACGAACGGAACAAAGGGCATCGCGAACGGAGCACGAACCCCCACGAACCGATGCTTGGAGCCCAACGCTTCGTCCACCGCGACGTTCCCGCGAGAAATGCTGGTGAGCTTGGTGGGGTCGTGCCTGGTCGTCGGCGCCATGCGACGCCATGGTGAGAGCAAGGGGGGGAACCAGGTGCCCCTAGTAGCGTCCTTTGCTCCTAGTAGCGATGCCCTTTGCTCCTAGTAGCTTCTTGCTCCTAGTAGTACGGCCAGGAGCCCCTAGTAGCTCCTTGTTACTAGTAGCGATGCCAGGAGCAAGCACTGAAAGAACACAAACAAGACTCTTAAACCAGCAGTCACAAGATGGGGTGCCGAACTTGAAAGATAGGGGTGCCCATGATCCACTCACTGGATGGGACGAAAAAGCACCCCTATTGTGACTCCTGGAAGGAAGATGGAATTAATAAAGACATCCTTCTTCGCTTCTTCCTAGAAATCTGACATCGAACACGACCCATCAAGGCATACCCATTCGCACATTGCTGCTTCCTTCTTCACCCAGACACTCCATGTGCATCCATGTGCCATATATGGCTACATTGATCCCCCAAACCACCCCAATGTAGGTATATATATATGCGATACATGGAGTGTCTGTGTCATGATTCAAATGGTTTCTCTTTCGTGTCTCACCGTCTGTTTGGTCTTTTTGGTGTTTTTGTTTGGTTGGGATCTCACAAGTTGCCAGCTCTCCCTGTTCGTTATGCGACCGAGCTCCAAACTGGGCATAGAATCGCCGCATCTTTTCGTACAGGTCTCGGAGGTGAAACAGATGTGACGTGTTCGTACAGGTCTCGGGGGGGCGGGGGAGGTGAGGAAATGACTTCATCATGTCACTTCCCATGTCTGATGCCCAGATTTGAATCCACATTCTCCCGAAGGAACACCTACCCAAAATGAAAAGCATTGAGAATGCTGAGAGATTGAGACGTTGGCTTGGAGGATACAAGGTCTTCTGCCTGGCACAAAACTGCTGAGTAGAATGCATGCCAGTTGCCACCTGTTGCCACATCTTTTGTCTTTGAAAAGGCTCAAACAAGGCAGGTTTGCGGTGTGTTGGTCTTCCTTAGATCCATTTCGCCACCCTCCCTTTGGTGGACACGTTTTGCTCTAGAAGGCAAACGAGAAAAGGACCTTCAAATTGCAACCAAGTGTAGGATTTGACGGAACAGGCTGAGACAGAAAGAGATCCGCCCCGCTAAATGGCAAGAAAAAGAGAAGTGAGAACACACACACACACACACATCACACGTCACACACGTCACATGTCACATGAACGTCCAGTTCGACATATATTTAATGACCGACTGAAGGTTTCAGGAAATTGCTGCAACTCGGGGCACTAGTCAAACCATTCTTTTCGTATAGTCGACTGGTCGACTGGACTGCCAGGGTGGAGTAGAAGAAACTTAAGTCGCTTAAGTCACATGGCTTCAAAGCTCTAAGGCTCAAGCAAGGGTTCCTCCTCAAGAGAACCGTGGCACTGACACCACAACGTCACGGGAAGGCGGGACCCACCGTCGTGACTTCTTGAGATCATGTCCTTTTTCGGAAAACCATGTTCCAGCACCTGAACCAGCACCTGAAGAGGTTCCTGTGTGGGATCCTATCCATTCAACAACATCCTCCAACAAACCAAAGGTTCCCTTTCTCATCCTTCCTCCCAAGTCTGAAGGACCTAAGAACAGTCTCAACGCACGGCCCCCGCTCGCATCGAACAACAGTCATCAACAGTCCTTGCTTCCTTCGCTGTCCTGCAGAATCAAAAAAACACATACATAGCTGAACTGGTTTCGAAGATTCGACGCTCTCTGTTCTCAAGTTCTGAGAAGCACAAACACGCGCCATCTTCCCACCGTCAACAGGTCCAAGGGGGAGTGTCATAGAAGACGGCAGACGGATTGCACTCGTTTCTTAGAAACAACATGGCTGGAACTGAGGCTGCACGTCAAAAGGACTTGAGGCCAATCCACGAGGACTTGAGGTTGACAGTTAGTCAAACCAAAAGCCTTGTTATAAAACGTGCATCTTAATTCTGGCCGCTCGTGATAGCTCTTGGAATGAGCTTGATCTTCAAAAAGTGGCCCAAGTTGCGGCTGTAATGGGGCCCCGTGTTGCACAGACAGCCGAAGGATGTGAACTTCTTGCAACCAATCCTCTTGAACCTTCTTGATCCTTCTTGTATTATCTTCATGACTTTTCTCCCCAAACAGCAAACTGTAGGGAGGTTTTCAGTCATAGTAAAAGCAGAATTCGGAATTCGGAGCAGGTGAATAGGTTCGAAGCTTCCGGAGCAAGTTCCGGAGCAAATTTGATGTACTGACATGTTGTCATTCCGTCAGGCTACCAGGCTCGTATGGTGTGCGCCGCCATGACGACAGGATGTCACATGTTGTCACTCGAACATCATGCGAACTTGCATATGCTGATGTGCTGTGTTAGCTGCCATACCGGCGGGTTGTCATGCTGATAATATAGTGGCATGGTTGTTGGATCATTCTGTCGTGCTCACATGCTATTACTGTAATACAGGGTAAACAAATTGGAACACTGTCCTCTTGGCTGCTGAGTCCAGCTGGGAAACAATTCAACTTTCTGCGGGCATTGCCAGCATCCAACACAAATGGACTAGGGTGGCTAAGAGTTCAGTCCACCCTAGTATAGAAGGTGATCAAAAAATCGGCACAGTTTTCACTGGCTTCGATCCTGCAGTGTGCCTGTGTGCAATTCCGAACTGTTGAAGAGGGTGCAAGAGCTGAGCACAAGTGTTGAGCACAAAAACATGTTCATTACATTTTCCTCTACAAAGAGGTGGTTTTCCACTTCCATGATTATTTCAGATAGGAAAAACAACGATTCCGCACCCGAAGACCTGCCAACATGTTCAACGAACCTTCGTTCGTCGGTCTTCACAACAATCTTGGAATCACACATGGCACGTAACCACTTCAAGCCCTTGTCATCAATCTTATTCTACCCAACTTGGCTTCACAAAACAAACCCAAGAAACCGCTAGTTCTGGAACCGCAAAATGACGCGTGTCGAATTGTCCCTCGTGATCCGTGACAATGAGCTTGTTGGATTTGGCGCTCGAGCATCGGAACGTCGACGGTGCAAGCCTCAGAATCTAAATATGATGTTGCCTGTCTTAGGAATTTGAGACCTCAGAGATTCAGCGTGTCCAAATCGAAGAGGAAGATCATGAAAGATCTCTTTATTATTGACATTTGGGAAATGGGCCCTTTAACTTTAACCAACAAACGTTTCGTGGAAGAATGCAAGATTACGGCATCCAATCATCAATGAGATAGCAAACTTCTTCATCAGTTTCCGAGTGATTCCATTCGGTCGTAAGGATGTTTACGAAGTTCCATGCTCATCATCACTCAAAGCGCCAGCTCGTCAATGAGGTTGATGTTTCGACGTCCCCCAAACCACGCCACAGCCATCGCTACACACGTGCTTCTCCACCGCCCATCCCACTCACCCGTAAACAGTACCCCACTGCTCGTGTGGTGGTGTGTGGGCAATTATGCGAACGCCAAGTGAGAACTGATCGGCCGTGAACAAGATGTGCTGCCTGGGTCTACTGGGCCTAGAAAACAGGTGGTATGAACTGGCATACTGTATATATAGGAATTACAGTATATGGAATTATGGTAAGCCCATTAGCAACAAGGGCATCGCTACTAGTAGCAAGAAGCTACGAACATAGCTAAGTGCTGGTGTTCATTGCCGCTCTCCAAGACACTGGGTCAATTCGCGATTGACCTGTATGATGTGTGTCTCCTGCAGACTCCACAGGTTAGACTATGAACCAAACTCTCAGGTGAGATTTGCTGCTCGTCCTCTCTTTCTCTTGCAGGTTCAATATTGCTCCTCAGTGCCTCATTCCACATGATAGGACGAACTCGTCGATTTCCGGGTTCCAACTCGTGTTTCTTCGCTCGGGGAGCGTGCAACTCGATTTCCGGGTTCGAACGAATCGCCCACCGGCCTGGAAATTTTGTAGCATCTCTACCGAAACAAACTGTTCCATGGCTTCGTCGATGGATATTTCTCGTCCACTCACAAACACCTTTGGTGCGCCTGACCCGTCAGGCAGGGAGTTCAAACGTTTTTCACGTGTGGCGTAGCTGCGTCGATGCAAATGACTACACTATACTGCATACTACAACAATACTAAAACTAGAGTGACTATAGTATGATTAATTCTGAATACTCTAAGACTATGTTATAGTCTACAATGAACTTAATTACTCCGCTTCCAGCACACAACATCTCAAAGAATTGGGGCCTGCTTCCTTGTTCTCCCATCCTTCCTTTGCGCAGAAGAGTGCCAAATTCTGGGCGAGTCCTGCCAACGCAAATGAATTTCAAGCTCGTACACTGTCGTACACTATTGTCTTCACAGCAGTGCCATGGAAAACAATGGAACACCATGCACCACTGCATCGCACACGGCGGTCCTTGATGGTGGGCCTCCTTCACATATCGAATATCCACGTCCCCATGGCGGGAGTTGTCCAATATGCCCCAGGCCAACCGACAAAGCTCAGGAGTGGTAAAGTTGACGATTGCCTCAGTCTAGAGGCGAAGTCTCAGGCAAAAGCAGACTTGTCGGTGCAAACAAATTGCTATTACTTCACCAATTGCCGAAGCAAAGCATTTTTATTCAGCAGTTGCTTACCAATTTTTGCATGTCCTGCCAAAAGCACCAACTGTGCTTCTATTGATGAGTGTAATGGAGGTGGTTCGAGTTCAAAGAGTGGTTTACACCTTGCCACCTGTTCCCGCTCCAGGTCACCAATTTCGGCCATGGCAAATAAAGGAAATCGTAAGCGTCCTTGGCTGAACCAGGTAGTCAATTCTTCAATTATGTGACATGAAACGGCAGGATCAGTCAGATCTTAAAACCTTCTTCTCTCATCTTTCTCTGTAAAAGCCAGTCACAACAAACATATATAATTAAAAAGCTCTAAAAAAGAGAATAGTACTATTAGGTGGAGGCCATCGCAAGAAGGTTGGAGGCCATCGCTACTAAGAACAAGAAGCTCCTAGAGAAATACCAGCTCCAAGCCCTAGGGCCAGTCTGTCCAAAATCGGGTGCCGCGTTGAACGAGCTCCTCAAACCGGGCCGTGGGCTGTTCCACTGTGATAGAGGGGTCCGTCCGGGTCCGTAGGAGGGCGCGTTTTGCCAGGCATCAGGAAACAGCTCATCGAGAACTGCCAGAACGCTTTCATAGCCTCAACTTCTTCGGTTTCTGAAAGCTGACTCAGAATTGTAGACTTAGACCCCGAGTGCAATCACAGTCACTTGCAAGTCTGCGTCATCTAACTTTCATTGTGTTCCTCCCGCGGCTTGACTGGACCCATTGAAAAATCACCACCTTGCCCCTGTCAGGTACTTGTGTAGCTGCTTTAAAAGAAGATTCTAGCTCAAGAAACCACAAAACTGGCAAGTGAGGCTCCTGGTGCTGTTCCTGTTGCACCTGGTGACCCATGACTTGCCCAGGCTTTCCTTTCACTGTCGAGCCAAGCCAAGTGACTAAGCTTCCTGGAACTCCGCAGCACAATGCTTGTTATACCGCTATCACTTGCCATCCTGAATGAAATCAAAACCCATGGGGACACGCAGAACGGCTGCGCAGAACTGATGCGGAACCGTGCTACCAGTACCGCAGGACTCAATGATGAGGTGGGTTGAACAAAAGGCAACAGAGCTCCAGACAGGTTCAATAAAAGAGATGAACAAAGGAAGGCAAGGCCTCTTTTTGAGGGGGCCTTACCTTCAATGTTTGCATCTCTGTTTTACACACTGTTTGTTTCATCACGTTGGCACTTTTTGCATGAACACTCCGAACAGAGGGTGCGCCTCCAATGAGAGGGTGCGAAGACGACATGCCGCCGCGGTCAACAGTTTTCATTTTTCAAAAAGCTGCAGACGTTCTGCACATGAGCTGCTCGAAGCTGACACAGTCTGCTCCAAGGTGACACAGGTCCACTGATTTTTATGCAGTCAAGTCGGACAATCACCATTTGAGACCCATACAGGTACTCTTGCAGAGGTACTCTTGCAGAGGTACTCTACTAGGTACTCTATGGTACTCAAAGGTCTTTCATTAATGTAAAGATCATCTATACCTGGTGACTTCTTTTCGCCAAAGGTCCTCGGAGAAGAGCTCCTCCTGACAAATGAAGGGGGAGAGAAGAACAGGAAGGAAAAAATGCCTTAAAGGTCTAACCAAAAAAGAATAAACGTATTTCCAGAAATCAAGACATGCTTTAGAAACCTCTGACAACAAACCAACAATGCCTGAAAGGCCTTCGGTCATCTTTTGTCCGGAACGCTTCAAAGCAGTCCCGAAACAGGAACCGAGCATCTTCTTTCAAAGACTAGAAACACGTTCTCACTATCTAACAGTGTTCTCTTTCCTGACCAGCTTGCTCCATCTTAGCCTCATGTCCAAGGGATAAAAATCATCCCATTCCCTGTGGTCGAAACAATGGATCTGTAAGGGAATCAACTGAATCAACACGTGACAAACATGATGTGCAAGATCTTCCAAACTCATCTGCAAGCGATGTACATATCTTAGTTTGTCAAGTATCTTTTAATGGGAGTGCAATTCACATGACCTGAAGTTGCTCATCCCGTCATCCTCCCCAGTTGCAACTTGCCACTTGCCACCTCCTTGGGTTTTCGCTTGTCATACATCTGGGCGACGTACATGGCCGCCTCCAAGCTGCCGAGCACCACAAGATGAAGCGAGGCAAACACGTGAAATCACATACTAACACTTCATGGGACTGGAATGTTTACCTATATTCTACCTACACCGAAGACACCTGTAGACACAAGTCTGTTACAGCATGTCCTCCAAATTTGCACACCTACCAATCCCGGTTGGCCGAGAAAACAAGACACACACACACATCCGGAGACGACGTCCGTCACCTGAATGGGGTCCAACTTCGTGGGATCGACGCCTTCAGCTTTGAAGCGACCTGGACCGAATGAGACCGAACGGGGGGAACGGTTCGGAGTCCATGCGCTCATGCGAAGGACTTCGGCGAAGCGAAGCTGGCGCTTGGGCCAAGCGATTCCAGTGCTGTCCGGTGCTTTGAAGCGGAAGAATGAAAGGGAAGGGGAGGGAAACTTTCGGTAGCAAGATCAGCATGGATGAGAACTGTGAACTTTGAGCCCTTGTGGCACCAGTAGATCCTCTGCAGAGCGCAGTTTCCTTTCCCCATCCCGAGAGCACCCGAGTTTGCCGCCCAAGTGACCCGGGTCATCGGCCTTCTTCCTGAGTGCGGTGCGCATCCGAATCAGTTCTGCGGTCGTGGCCCGTCGACCATGGTTTCATCATGTAGTTAACCATCGATCGAATTAGCAATTCTTTCAATGCCACTCGAGTGCACAGGTCAAAAACAGGCTTGGTATTGGCTCATTCTTGGCCACCCCACCCCACACGGAGGCCTTCTGACTGGCCCTTGCCAGCCTGCAACGCAGTTGGAAAGCAGTCAAAGGATTTCAAGCACGTATGGGCAATTGCTTTTCCCAGGCATATTCTGCTCGCGCTTTTGGCACCAGCATTGAGTCCAACCAAAAGATGCGATACGATAATATGATTCGATTGTTCCAATTCAAGATGCAATTGGCTACATTTTCTGACCCTAGAAAGTCTATATACTAGCAGTCACAAAGGGGTGCTTAATGGAGGTTAGGGGTGCCCATTATCCACTCACTTAGGGACTAAACACCACCCCTTTGTGACTGCTGGTATGACCCTTTTATGACCTTTTCGACCCCCGAAAACCCACGTGGCCTGGCCCACCGTGGCCGACACGTCGAAGAAGCCGGCGGTCAAGCGGCGGACGCCCAGGAGTTTCACCACGCGCTCGTACCTGACGACGAGAGAGTCCGATGGTCTTCGGGGCACAAGGACGCTACGAACGTATGTCTTTGAAGCTTTCTATAGGAACTAGAAGCTACTATAGGTGGAGGATGGTGGAGGCCACAACAAGGAAGGACGCTATGCTGGAGGCCCTCGCAATGCTCGGGTTGGACGTTGGAATGCGTATTCGCTACGGAACAAGAGACAGGCCATTAGAGGTTCGATATGGCACGTGCATGCCAGGGCCGTGCCAGGGTCGTTTCGGACTCCACAGGACCCCCATTTTCCACGACATCTGGGGGTGGTGCCATCGAGCCTCTGAAACCACTGGTATTTGAAACTACACGGTGATTTGGTTCAAATGTATTAGTTTCACATTGTTTCACGTGGTTTCGCTGGGTTTCACTTGTGTTTTGATCCTTTTTTGGCGCACGCGGCTCGCTGGGAGCGGCTGAAGACGTAGTGCAAGATCTGTGGCAGAAAGCTGTGGGGTGCATGGGAGGGTTCATGTGGAGAACACCTGCCTTGAAAAAAGGAACCCCACATCGTGAAAATTCGTGAAACGCCACTTCAAAGCCATGAAAAGGACTTGAACAAAAAGTAAACACACATCGAAACCTCCGCTCTGAAGCGAAGCCAGAAGCGGCGACACCGGGCTACCGAGCTGTGGTGAGAATGCTCTGCAGGCACAGGCCGAAACAAAGCAAAGTCACCTCCAGCGCTGTCAGGTGTGGAAAATTCCGTTGGATCACCTTTCTCATCCTTTCTCCACTAGTCTCGTCAATTCTCAAGCTCAGGCTGGACAAGCTTTTCTGCGATGAAGGATTTTTGCTTGACCCTTCGAGGTAGGCTCGCTGGTGTGCGACATGATCAGTTGCACTCTCTCCTTGCCACTTGGGCTTGCCACTCAGGTGCGTCGAAAAACGGCCCACGAATCACACAAAGAGACTACCGGTTTCAGGCGAACTCAACACACGAAGGGCGACGGGGCTCTCGGCCCTGGCAGTTCGCCTTCGGGGCCAAATTCCGCCAAATGAGCCAAACATAGACTTGGACCTGGCAAACTGGGCTAAGTGGCTGTGGCTGAGGTCGGACAAATCGATTATCTGGTGAGGGCCGATGGATGCCGATGGTCTCCGTAGAGGAAATGTGCACCTCATCTCATCCACCAAGTTCTACCCGTCTGCCCATGGGAGGCATGACTCAGCCCTCGACTTGCAACCGCAGCTTGAGCTGCATGGGAGGATGGTTTGATCCATGAAAGAACAAACAAAGGGTACCAGTCACTGCCAAGCACCCCGCAAGGGTACTTATGTGTTCTGCACGGAGGAGCACGGAAACTGGATGCAATGGCTGGACCTATCTTTAACATTATTCAGAATTCAACTTCTCCAATCTCTTGCATGCCTTCAGCACCTTCCATGTCTCCGCCGACCCCCCCGCGTGTGCGAGAAAAAGCTACATCCACCAGAAGCAATGGAAGATCTTGCAGTAGCGTCGCCAGGCCTTGGCAGCAAAGACTTATGAAGCTCAAACAAAAACTTATATTGCAAGTCTGACTTGCAAAGCCGTGAACGGCAAGTCTTATGAACTTGTAGACTTGGAGAATCATCTAGATGTCTATTTCCTATACTGTTACTAGATATATCTCATCTATATATTCTTATCACATCTTGTAAACCGCTCCGCACATTTCTGGCCATCGCCATGAGAACAAGCTGAGTGAGATCTTCTGAGCTCTTGGCCCAAATTTGCAAAAACCACAGCCATCTTTGACCTCTCTCAGGCCATCGGCCATCTCGGCCGACTCATCAGGGGCTTGGTCCGATGGAACGTGACCCAAACCGGTGCGTCGGCGTCATTTTTTGGATGGACCTCTGCCCTCTGCGTCCCCATCCTCAAGCCCCGCTTTGAAGCGACTTGCAGGAGTCACCCCCAAAAAGAGGTGCGTGAAAGGCTCCCTAATCTTGACTCATCTTGAGTTTCGAGGCATGCTTTTCTTTCCCAAAGGTGGCACGCTGGCTGAGACAGCTGAGACAGCGGCGGCGTGCCGAAGTGGATGTGAGTCCCTGAGCCGAGTCGACTGAGAAGAAACCAGCCGGGCAAAACGTGACTTAGTCAGCTTTCCCATCTTTTTCTCATATTTTTCATATTTTGATAACCTTTCCGTTTTCTGACCTGTCTTTTTTATCTCTTTGCTGTTATCCTTTATAGACTTTTCTTTTGCTTTCTTCCTTCCTCCAGCGTTGCGCGGTTCCAGGCTTGCTCTTTTGGCTGGATCGGGGTCTTCGAAATAAACCTTTGGGGCGGGCTTAAAGTGAGGCTGCTGCGGAGGCTGCTGCGAGTGGTGTTCTGTTTGTTCTGTTTCACGTTCACATTCTAAGAAAACATGAGAAAACAGGTGAAATCAGCACTTAAAGGAATTGAGACCAGCAACGCTCCACATACTTGGCAGTTCAAATCCGAAGGCCTCATCCAGGCTGTTCGCTTAGACCCTTCTCCTTCCTTCAGCTTAAACGCACTCAATTCCTTCAGTGCGCTCAGTCGCAAAGCACGAAGATCATGATCTTCGCCTTCGAGAGTTTTCCAACATCGTCACCTTTCTTCGTCCAGAGAACATCGGCTCCATCGCGGCCTACGTCCGGTGCATCCTTCGGTGCTTCATCATCCCAACATCTCCATGGGCGGTGGGATTCTGGTCATATATTTTGGTCTCAAAACTGCCGCCCTTGTTGCTGCCGAGTCAGGAGCTTGTTGGCCTCAAGATAGGGACTTGGCGTTTTGCTTGGGTACCCAGACTTGTACCTGCATCCCACTGACTACAAAACCTCTAGAGTGCCTACAGAAAGTCGAGCGGAAGCAACCAACTCACAAATAGAAGCAACGACCTTTGTCCATGGTCTCAGATCAAGCCAAAATACACCATCTGGCAAATCCTGCATGGATCCCGACACAAAGCAAGCAGCATGTTCTTCAGGGTGGATTGGATGACGCTTTAGAGGAAACTATAGGAAACTCAATTCCCTCCGCATGGAAACAAAACAGGAAATTTAAAACACACCCAAATGCCACCGCCCCCGCTTCTAAGCGTTTCTCCTATTCAGTTTCCAACCGTCTCCGACCGCCTTCTCAGCCCCGGACGGTCGATCGCTGCAATGTGCGAATCTCGGACGGTCCCATGGGCGAGTGGGACACGAGACAAACATCGACACGACCTGGTTTGGGGAACCTATGGGAGAAGACTCAAAGATTCTTTGCTTGGAAGCTTGACATGAACCATAGATCCTTTAGCATTCATTTGGGACACGTTTTTAACATGTAAGAACATAAACATATAGAAACATCAGTTCATCATTTGTGCAACTTGTTTCGGTCTCTTGAGGCTCTGGCTGGTAATCCGGAAGAAGCGAGGGGAAAATACTGAGAGCAGCAGGATCAGCCTCAACCTTGATGTTCCGACGTTGCTTCAGTTGGTTTGGAGAGGAAGGAAAGGATTTCAAAAAGGCAGGTCTACAGGTCCAAAGCAAACAAAAGAAAGAACACAAAAACAGACATTCTTAATACCCTGTGAAGCAAAGTACTCGTTAAACTTGTGCGTTCTAATTTCATTCACATTAACGTACTTTACTTTTTAAAGATCGTACTTTACTTGTCTATAACCACCTCTAACCGCTGCACTCAGGTTCATGTACGTGCATCATGGATCAAACCCTCAAATCCTAGTCATGCGTTTGCAAAAGCCATCAAAAACCAGCTGGCTTGGTGGAAGGATGGTGGACCAGCATCCAGAAGCCATCACAGAGCCGTGGAATTTTGGATGCACTGACTTTGCTGACCCCGTCTCTCTACACACAAGCTGGTCCATGGATTGCCTCTACCATGTTCCACAGACTGACTGTGGCGTTTCGGGCCAGCAATGCGAGAGCTACATGACGAAAGTGGCACGCTTGAGGCTACTTGGCTCAACGCGCGCATGTAGCAGGGTTACGGATGCATGTGCAGTGTGCTTGTGAATGCCCGGTGCACTTAAGGTTGAAGGTCGCAAAAAACGCATGCGAAGGATCAAGTTGTTTGCTTGATCAAGATCATGAGAAGTGTAGTTGGAGTTTCATCTATATATAGTGATCCTGGTCATGATCCTGGGCAGGATTGACAGGCTGCCTGGAAGCGATGACAATGAAGAAAATGATGGGAAGCGGGTGTGCAGAGTTTCGCAGTGAAAGTAGTTCAGATAGATACTCGTTAAACTAGTCTCCCAGGTCCGCAGGGGTAGTATTGGCCTCCAACCTACTAGCAATGGCCTCCAACCTAATAGCGATGGCCTCCGCCCTAGTAGCTTCTAGCCATAGTAGTAATGGCCTGCAACCCACTAACTAGTATCATATGCATATGAAAATATATGAAAGTTAACTTCTTTCAGCAAGTCCACGACTTAAGCCTTAAGACCCCGAAATGTTCTTGTCCGTAGCGGAGGGCTACAGGGGCCGCAGATTTAGACACACAATATAGAAGGTTTTGTTATTGTTAATTTTTTTTGTGTGTACTGTGTATTTGAAGTGTTGTTTTCCGTTTCTTTCTTGGGTTCAGCCAACTGCTCAGCCAAAAGCTGCATCTTGCGGCTTTGGAAGACCCAACGAAGTGGAAGACCCGCGGATGGGACGTCTGACTGCAAAACGATCCGTGGCGTAGCCACCTCCCAAGATGGCAGACCAGGCCTTTGAATCATCGATGAGTCATCGATGAATGATAAATCACCAGACCCTGGGACCGCTACAAGTAGATGATTGCATGGCCGCTTTTCTGCTCCATGATTCTCTCCCTGCCTGATATTCGTGTGATTGGCGCATTCGGTCGCATATCGGTCCCCGCACCTCTTTCGGTTCTTCCGCCACCATGGCCTCAGGACCGGAAACGGCTGCCGGCTCTTCAGCTGAAGAAGCGACTTCGCGACCGATCCGGATCCGGACTGATCCATGGGGAGAGAAGTGCGCCCGGCATGTGCCCGGAATGCGCATGTGTTCTGTTTGCCAAAATCATGTCTGATTGAACATCTTCTCCTTCTCCTTCGTCCCAGGTTCAACTTCGGGAATGCTTGGTAGCCCCTTTGTCAGCCGACTGAGAAACTCTCTAACCCTCGTTGTGTCACACACGCAAAAGGAAAAAAAAGGAAACGTGGTTTTGAGGCGCCGGTTTTGAGACGCTCGAAAGCCTGAGGATCCACACGTGTCGATGATGTAGCTGGTGAGCGTCAGCCGCAAGACCTGAGGTTTCTGCTGCCGTCGACGTGTGAGACGTGTGAACCACAAACGTTTCTTTTACGCTTCAGGTGTAGTCTTTCATATGACAAGGATGTGAAATGACTCGCTTGAAGACCATTAAGGCAGCAGCAGCAGCGTTCACCACGAAGCATAAAAACAGATTACACCTGATCTGCACGCGGCATTGATGCAAATGAGAAGTTCAGAAAACAATTTTCGTGAGTCTGATGGTATTTTTGGACGAATCAAGTGGGTTCTCAAGTTTGAATTCAGTGCAATCTTCCAATTGTCCAATTTATCTCTCCTTTGTTTCTTATTTCCAAACATCTGGCGGTCTACTTGGAGTCTGGCAAACAGGCCATGAAGAGCGTCACGTGCAAAGGGTGCACGTTATTCCCTTGCCTGGGCAAACTCCGTTGGGGGTTCCGGGCCAGGTTGATGCCACCCAGGTTGAGGTTTTGAGGTTTACCCCCGAATTGACTGCCGGTTGACCAGCACAAGCATCCTATTCGTTCCTTTGCGCTCTTGGGCAATGACCATACAGAATTCTGGAACCTGAAGAACTCATGGATCAACAGCTGGATTGATCATTTTCTTCATGATTTGGATAGGTTTCCTTCGGCCAATTGATGATGTTGTCATATGATGTGCACGTTCTGAGCCCTTTCTGAGGTCCCACACAAATAAAAAAGCCAAACCTCAGGAGAAACGCAGAGAAGCGGACCGCTGTCGCGGGACGGCGGTGTGCTGTGCTGGCTTGAAACGGATGGTGTGCTGCGATGAAACATCCGGACACACCTCGAGAAGTGGACATACAGACTATATATACGTAGCTCTGGAAAAAAAGGATCACACTGCAATGTTGTTTTGAATTGTTTGAATTGCACAGAATCTGGAAAACCTCTTTGAATATCTTTATCCCTGAACATCCCAGAACCAACTCAGGACTGTCGGCATAGTCGAAACCAGTGGTGTAGAGGCCCAAGATGGGCGTCAAGATATCCAGGATCCGTACCTGGCGTGGTAACGATAGCCCTGGTGTTTCTCGCCCAACGACTGAAAGCACTGGTCTTTTCTCGTTGGAGATCACGGTTGACATTTGACATGTTTTTTGTGTGTGTCTCAAGGACGAGAACCGCATGGCACCTTGGCCAAACGCAGGCAGCAGCCGCATTTGTGTCCCAGTCGCCCAAGGCCGCTTAAAACCAGCCTGAGCCATCGGAGAGAGGTGACCCAATGCTTAAACGAACACAGGAAGGCAAGGTGTTTGGGCTTCAATCATTAAAGAACCCCAACTGTCCTTCTTTCTTCGTCCTTTTGTTCCAAGGTGAATCCAAAGGGATCAGGGGGTTCGAGGAAAGGACGACCACAAGGATTGCAAAGACCGCGAGGATCTCAGGATATCTCATTCAAATCAATCTCAAGCAAGATTCTCCAGCAAACCTTTTGGAGATTGATTCAATTTACCCATAAGACAAAAAAAACAGAACAAAACAACATCTCCAGCAAATCGTGTTGTTTTCTCTGATGTTCGGCAATCCAGTCCCTGCTTGGAATTCGGAAGGACAGCCATTTCGCATTTGACTTCGAGCGATATCGAGCAATCTGTTTTCCAAGGCCCCGAGGCAACCGATGAAAAAAACAATGCACTCCCGAAAACTAACATAGACCCTGACAATGGCCCCCTGGAAGATTGTTTTCCTCTACCAACCAGTGGTTTTCAAGTCCATGTTAGTCTTCCAGGGTGTACATTATATATATATATATAATTTTCCTTATGTGAATTGAAGTGTCCAAAAACAGGGTCTGATCCTGACAGTTGATGCATGTTGATGCTATCATGATGGTCATTCTATCGAGATCAGGTCACATGCAGGTTCACCTCACCTCACAGGTTCGCCTAAAACAACTCACCTCACCACTCTGAAAGTGTCCGACAGCCTCGTGACTGAAAGATACTGAAAGTGCTTTCTTTTTGCCGATTTTCTACATCTCAGAGTTGTTCAGTCTAAAAGAAACCAAACTGAACGTGCTGGATTCTTTGTCCGCCGAACACAAGTCAATCTCACCTATCTTCCACTCAAGAAAGACCAGCCAGGCCTGCCAGGGCTCACCTCTCAGCTCTCTCTTCGGCTGTCAGGTACCCCCCAAAAATTGGAACATCCTCTTCATATTGGGGCTGAAATATCAGGAGTCTGTACAGTGTAGACCTGAGATCCCCCACGACAGGCCCACAATGACGGCCACCATTCCGATGCTGCCTCGGTGCGACCCGACCGGTTGCTGCGACCTGGTCGCGACCGGAGGGTGGCTGCGACCCGTTCCGAGGTCTGGAATTCGTCCAACACGTCGGAAGAGTCAACAGGACATGGTGAGAATGTGTTCCGACCATGTCCAAATCACCCAAATCCTTGATTGGTAAAGATCTGGGATCCTTTTCTATCCTTTTCTCCTGCTTTTCGACTTACTTTGGAATCACCGTCCTTGGTGAAGATGTTGAACAGTCCGGTCCCAAAAAGTCTCCCGAGATCTGAGCGCCAAAGGACTGGGACTTCCCGCCCACCTTCACCAGGTCGAAAGGGCAATCGCCTGGTCGCGAGAACGCGGAAGTCACTGCGGAAGTCAAGCCACTGAAGTAGTCGCATCTGATTCAACCAAAACCTGTATAGGGGGTGAAAAAGAACCGAGGGAGGGAACCAAGTCTGGTTTCCTTCTGGTTTCCTGAACCAACTACTCTCCCTCTGCAGGTTGTCCTCAACCACTGATGATCACTGGGTCTTATCTTCCAGTTCCCCAAGTTGGGTGTCTTAGCTGCAGCTCGGCACAACAAGAGCCATCACAAGCGCACAAAAGCTCGGCGCCAGCGGGTGGGGCTCCACGAAAGCGAACGAAACCCGAGGCGATCAAAGTATCCCAACGACGAGTACTGGAAAGGACCTTGCAAAAAGTGTCCGTTCGGGACCTTGCGGTTCATCATAAGGTTTTTTTTGCTACTTTACCGATTTTCACCCTTACTTTACCGACTTTGCTGGGCGTTGTGTCTGTCGCATGACATCCTGTCAGTCATCATCCGCTATCCTGTCGCCTTAAAGCAAAGGGGGGGGCACTGCGTCGCAACAATCATATTAGTGGCAATATTAATGGGTTTGCCAAGGACCCCCAAGGACCCTGCTTTGTGGTCCTTGCTTGGGCCTTGGGCGGTTTTTGGCCGCCAGGACTCGTTTGCAAAGTCCTAGGCCCAACCCAATGCCAATCATTGACACAAGGGTATTAAGGTAGGACTGGACAGATCAGTCAGTGAAAGTTAATGTGATTTGTGTGCACACTTGGTTCACACTTGCGATGTGGAATGGCTTCAAAATGCCAAGCCGTCCTGACAGCCATTTTGATTGATTGCCCTTTACTGATTGCGTTGCCATGGCTTCTGGGGCGTCAGTGCCTCCTGCTGCCAAGAAGTTGAAGTTTGACAAGTACCAGTGTGGCATTCTCCCTGGAGGATGCCTTGTGGCCTCCCTCAGAGCAATTCAGGGGAGAGAAGGCGACAGATAGCCTGGAATAGCAAAAATGCGATTCCTGCACTGGCAGAGTGCTTGTGACAGCCTGCAGCCTGGGCAAAAAGATTACCTGGGCCAGGCAGACAATGACAATGCTAGTAAATCAGAGTGGATGCGCCGATTTTTCAACACACAAAAAGCTATAGACAGACGCTTTAAGAAATTTAACGAGACAGCAAAAACGGCCTCAGCGAGGCTCTGCTGCATTTTGAACCACTGTTTTGGCAACATTTTTGACATTGATTGATATGACACTGGACACGTTCAGGTCTCAAGCCTCGTGTTTTCAGTCAGTGTCAAGTTGCAGCTGCTTTCAGGGTCTCGAACCTCGTCGTGTTTTCAGTCAGTGGTTGAGCTGCAGCTGCTTTCAGGGTCTCGAGTCTCGAGCCTCGTGTTTTCAGTCAGGGTCGAGCTGCAGCTGCTTTCGGGGGTCTCGAGCCTCGCGTCTTCTGCAGCTGCTTTCAAAGGTCTCGAGCCGCAGTCAGTGTCGAGCAAGGTCTCGTCAGGGTCGTGCCTTGAACTTGCAATGGGCTGGCGTTGGGTGTGGAACAGGTCCAACAGCAGCTCCGCTGGCGGAAGCGGAAGCGGGCGAAGGCTGCCCCGCCTCCGAAACCAGCTGCGCCCACGCCAAAGGCTAAGGGCAAAGCGAAGGCTAAGGCTAAGGCCATTAATGTTCCTGCTGGGGTGACACTGGGCTGCGGAAGACGCAGACAGTCATTAGTGGGTTGCCGGCAATGCCGCACCAGGGCTGGCATGACTTTTGATCCTGTGTCTCAAACGTGGAACTAGCGGAATTACATACGAGCGGTTTTTGCTTCCGTGAGAAAAAGAACCGTAAGCTTTCCCAGCGCATCCTCCCTTGTTGACAATTGATAGAGCGGTGATTCATGTGTGGTATGTGCTGACTTTGAACTGTCCTTGTTGCTATGCAAGTTTGGGTTCAAATAACTGTTATAATGAACATATCATCTGGATCCGAATGCGCCACTCCCTCCGAGTGTGGGAATGACGGCGATGACAGCCTAGATGGCCTTGCTGCAGAACAAATTGAAATTCTCTATGTGGACTCCGATTAAGAGGCTACTGTATCAGTGCCATCCATCATTGACGACGAGGACATCTATTTCAATGAGGGCTCGGAATCAGACATCATCGTGGACGACTTGGACGACAAAAAACCTGGCGCGTGCAGGGATGACTTTATCGAGATATTCAGCCGCCCCAGGTTGATTCCCAGAATCTCAGCGCTGCATCTTGGCATGGTAGCTTCCATGTCTGTCGACATACTGACTGGTTTTGATTTGCTTTTGCCAGAGAAGAGGCAAGAAATCATGACCTATCTGTGGGCAAGACGACCCCGCAGCGCCATGTTGTCACCCCCATGCACTATGTTCTCCCAGTTGATGGGCGAGAATGGATCCTGCGGTTGTCAAGCAAGGTGGCAAGAGGCCACATGGTTTTGCTGAAATTTGCCCTGGATGTGGCTCCGTTCATGATAGACACCGGCGGTTATTTTATACTGGAGCATCCCACTGGCGCTTCAAGCTGGAGGCTTCCAGATGTCCAAGCTCTGATTGCCATGCCAAGTGCGTATCTAGTTACATTTCACCAATGCAGATTCAATCTCAGGGGGCGCCCATTAGTGGTTTGCCAATACGGAAAAGCACAAGGCCCCAAGGCTTTTGACAAATTCTTCCATTGTTGCTTCTGCCTTTGACCATGTTTATTGTCAATGCTGTGGCCCCCACAAGACCATTCAAGGCTCAGAGGGGCCATATAAACTTTCAAAATATTGTGAACAGTATCCGGCCGAACTGTGTGATGCCTTGCTTATTGCCCTCAACCAGCAATTGGATCAGCGACAGGAAAGAATGGTGTGAAGTGCTGACTGTCTGGCGTGACTGGTTGTCGGAGATCAATTTGCCGCATTGTGGTAGTCAAAATTTTAACTACCACGATGCAGCAGATCCTGCGTTTTCATGCGGATTTGCAAAGTTGGCCAACTTCGCCACATTGTGGTAGTCAAATTTTTAACTACCACGATGCAGCAGATCTGGTCCACCAACGTTCGCAAACCATCAATTTTGCAGCAAAGTTGGCCAACTTCGCCGCACAATTTTCTACAGTAGTAAGGTTGGCACGGGTCAACCTTAACTTTTTGGGATCCGAAAATGTCCCAAAATGCGCTGTTTCAATTTGTACCAGGCCCGATTTGGAGCAAAGTTGGCCAACTTCGCCGCAAAGTTTTCTACAGTAGTAAGGTTGGCACGGGTCAACCTTAACTTTTTGGGATCCGAAAATGTCCAAAAATGCGCTGTTTCAATTTGTACCAGGCCCGATTTCTTCGCCGCAAAATTTTCTACAGTAGTAAGGTTGGCACGGGTCAACCTTAACTTTTTGGGATCCGAAAATGTCCGAAAATGCGCTGTTTCAATTTGTACCAGGCCCGATTTGCAGCAAAGTTGGCCAACTTCGCCGCAAAATTTTCTACAGTAGTAAGGTGGGCACGGGTCAACCTTAACTTTTTGGGGCCCGAAAATGTCTGAAAGGAAGCTTTTGTTGCAGGGATTTGGCTTCAACTGCCTGCCCCCGATCTGCAGG